TAGCGACCTTTGTCGATTTCTTCTTTTCTCTATTCTGTATGAACGAACCAGAAAATAGCAGTCCATATTTTCTCTTAGATATGTGGAGTCCTTATTTGTGGCAACTTATTTGTGGCTAAAAGCAGACAACGGAAAATAACTTTCACATGCTTTGCAATCCTAGAATATAGATAAATAAGAAATTAAATTGATAATTAGTCTTGTTTCTTGTTGTTGGTCTTTGTAACGCAAAAGTTATAGTAAAATGGAACTGATTGATAAAAAGCTTAAGTTTCTAGAAAATATCTTCGATGAACAGGCGCCACATCCATACAAAATAAGACTGAAAATTTACTCTTTAAATTTACTCTATAAAAGTTCTTTTTATCAAGAACCGAACTGGCGACCACACACTCACCGTGGAGTGGTTTTTCTTTGAAGAAAACAACGTTTCTTCTCAGTTAAATATGATATCCGTAATGAGCATACTTGATTACATACTGTATACATCAGTGATTTTTCCATAAAACGCTGCAAAAACATTTTCCTACCTGTTTTACTTGTCGTACTGCCTAAATAGCTATAATTGTTGAACAACAAAGACTAGACACTTGAAATTATGTCCACACAACTTAACGTTGAATCACGGAAACCCGAATAATCATAAAGCTACCTTTCTAGATTTTAAAATGGAAATAGTTCAAAAGCAGATTAAATTAAGGCCGTATGACAAACATAGTAAGCTGATATAGATAATTAGCGGGATTAAGGAGGAAATTTTCCCAAAACTACAAGTTATAGTGTTTTTACTGGACAGATGCTTCGTCTGTCCAGAACATCTATGGATTTCTCAACGTACCGATCTGCTGTTATGGTTATGTATAAGAACCTGACAAGACAGGGCTATAGATCGGAAAAATTCATCAAGACTGTAAAAAAGTTGTTCGGGAAACACGGAACAACGTTTCCTCTTAGATATACTGCAAAACAACTGATTAAATCAATTTTAAAATGATCCTTGATAATTGTCAGTTTTATTTTTTTCTTTGATTTTATCTATGCTCGTGATATTTCATAGTATTTTTTAGTCCTAGTTCCATCAATGTACAAACAATATTTTATTATTATCTTTCATTCACTTTTATTCACGCTCATTGTATTATCTGTTTTATTAGGGTATAAGCACGTTTTAGCTGATTAAATCAACATCAAACAATGAGTTACAGTTCAGTCACCAACATCTAATTTCAGGCAACAGTAGTGTATTTCCATTCACTGCAGAAGCACCAGAACAAATAGGGTCAACTAAATTTAAAGCTCTGTCTGGTATTTAGCTGATGAACTGCGTAACAATTGTAACTTATAATTCAAATATATGTAGCCCAGTTGAAATGTGGATGAACACACAGATTTCAGTTCATTTGAGAGTAGAACAAACAGAGAGAGAGGAGAACCAGTGAAATGTTGTTCACACAGAAGATCAGAATGATCTCTTAAGGAAAAGAAACTAATTAACTAACAGGTTTTTTTTGTATGTCTACTAGACATTTTAAAACAAAAGAGAGAAACGAAAAATAGAGGATAAAGAAAAACACCTGTTTGTGTTTTTCAGCCATAACTCATCAGAGAACTGCAACAGGAAATTTTCTTCTGAAACCGAACTCTACCTATTTGAACTTTTTCAAATTAATTCGAACTATTTCAAAAGTTTCATTAACAACTCAATACACATTTATCGAGTTAAATCAATTCAAATTAATTTTTAATCAGAAAAAAGGTAATTTGAATGAATTTAACATGAAACTATTTGAAACCAATTCGAATTAATTCGAAAAAGGTCCAATAGGTAAGATAGTTCATTTGGTCGAAAAGTGTCTGAAAATTGATTTTTGTTGAAAAGTCTCTCGTTATTTTGGCCGATCGAGATGAAGCTTTCATGAAATACTTATTTCGATACACGTAATTTAACAGAGGCCAACGTAACATTTTGTGACGTGAACTGAATCTGCATAAGGTCCTGAGAGATTGTTCCGCTCTTAAACTGATCTTTATGCTCAATAAAAAGTGAAAAAAAGATGACCCACATTTAATTTTACGTCACAATTATGTAAAATATAATCGTGGACAACAGCGATAAAACAATCAACAAAGAGTGACATTGTGTAATTTTAATAAAGTTTGTATGATTTTGCAACATTTTGCACACAAAAAAGTAATTTTCTTTTTCGGCCGCCTTCCTTTGACTTTGTTGAGTGAGACGAATCAGAATATGTGGGATCTCCCAGTTAACTCAGATCTTCATTTCCCAGCTATGAACATTCATAGCGTTACTGCTGTTATATTCATTTTAAATGTTATCACTAAGTGCGGTTATTAGAGTAAAGTTAAGTAAGTATTGTATCAACATTAGCGATTTAAGTGAAGGGTGCCACACAACTCAAATTGTAGGGCGGTATCAGTAAGCAAAATCTTGTATGTCTTAGAATAAATACAGCGTGCGAAAAAGCAGCTGCACAAAGTCAGAGAAACACTTATTTCTAAAATTTGTAGTATTTTTCATTAGCGACTATAGCACTGCGCGTGGTAGAATATCATCACAGGAGCACAGTGGTAGGAAAAATTGATCGTCAACTTTTATTTTCGATTTTGCTCCTCAACTAGACCAGCTGGACAAATCTGAAAAATGATTTGAATAGGTGAGAGAGTTTCCGACCAGAAGATTTGTGTATTCTTCCAGTTACTAAAAACAAGTCGTTCGACGTCTGAAAACCAGGCTCTTAGAAAGTCCAACAGTAATGACGAGTTTGCATTTGCAGCAAGCTGAAAATTACAAGTGTTTCTTTTACTGTCCGATGTGATAATAAATACCACAGGGGCGGAGAGGAGAACAAAGGAAAATGCAAGAAGCAATTCGACGATACTTGTAAAGCCTACAGATGGTCGGACTACACTGAATAATATTGCCCTTTTTATCCTCTCCCTTTGTCGTGTGCTTCTTCTTGTCCCGTCTGTTGTCTTTCGTAAACTGCATGCAATGTACTGGAAAAAAGACGTGGAGAGCTGTGAGATGTGTCATTTTGTTCATAAATGCCTGCTCTACACGACCGAGTCATTTGCAAACAATTGAGGATCAAACTCTAGTAGATGGTTTTTAGAAGCCTGGCTTTGTATTCGATTTGTTTACAGTAATTGACAGAATATTCATATACATTCGTTCTAATACGAAACTCTCTCACTATGCAAATCATTTTTCAGATTTGTCTTAGCTAGTATTGTCGAAGAGAAATATCAAAAATAATAATGGACGATCAGTTTTCCAACCCACTTATTTACTTTGAGGATCATCAGAACGTTCGTTCTGGATACAAAGAATTGATCCATCTTATTTTAGAAATATTGATTTCTTGATGGCATTGCCATTGATTTTAATTTCCATGATGTTGGCAACATTTTTGTCAACTGTCACATCATCATCCTATCGAATCATATCAGCCACGGCCTGGTTAACATCAGAGGATATTTATCCGGATTTTTCTGCCTCTCTTAACAACCAGCAATTTCCAACAATATTCCAATATAATTACCAGAAATATTCAACTCTGCTTCACTGTACAAGCTCAAATTGCAGCGACATTGAAATGATACAAATGCCAGGACTCAACAAGGCTCAACTAGCCTATGGCGGTGTACTTCCTCGTCGAATTGTACAGTATTCTCCGTTGATCGAAGGAGCAACTTTATTTTTGAGTACTGGATATGCTCGGCCAAATCGTGATACAGAACTTGTTGTTTGTGCCCCAACTGATCGACAATGTTCAAATCCCACTGTGATGAACACAGTTAATTGTCCGGGATTTGGTCAACTTGGCTTACGATTAACGTTTACTCAAAAGCAAAGTAACCCAATTATGTTAATACCGGAAGCTCGTTATGCATCTGTTGATAATCGTGTAACCGGTTTTATGATACAATCTTGTAAAGATCCACTGTGCACACTAGGTTTTGAGTCGACTAATCGACTACCGTTTAATCTAACTGGTCAGGCATGGTGTATGGCAGCCAGTATTGATACACAATTAAATTATTTGGGCTATCCATCATGGTTAACACAATGTTGTTCGGAAATGAATCTGATCAATTGCCTTACCGATACATGCAACGAAACGACTACTGTACAATTTCGTATTAATCCCGATTTAATTTATTTTGTTTATATGGCTGTTGATTTACAGTCAAGATTTTTCATCGTTACAACTGGAAATACTAGCCAAACAGATATAACTTATATTCGTTGTTTAGATCCAACCTGTTCGCAATCCAACCAAAACCAACTAGTTGTACCTCAACTACATTCAGCATCTGTTATAAATAAAGGAAAGATTGTGGGTACACGAGTACAGATTGTCATTGATCCCAAAACGGGTTTACCTATACTTCATTATACAGGACTATTATACCCCGCAAACATATATACATACTTATTTATTGTTTGTCAAGATGTTGATTGTGATATGGAAAATGCTATAATTATTGATTATGGAACGAAGATGGGTCTTCAGAGAGTTGCAGCACACGATTTGTTTATTGATGATCAACAAATTGTAACAATAGCAATGAGAGTTCAATATCAAAATTCAACAGTGATGGCATTCGTAAGAATGGCTAAATCAGATCAGCCAGAAATAGAGAAGTTAACATTGGTCGAACCAAAAGCAACAGAAACTAGTTTTTGAAATAACAACGTTTTTTACTTTTTATTTTACTGACTGCGTGATTGACAAAACTACTTGTTTTCTTTCGTTGGCGTGCTACTTTCGTTTTATTTAATCATCCATCTGTAACAATGAGCAAATGACAATTTTCGCCACTTTCGTATTTTATTGGAGAGAAACTTTAGCTTTTTCTTGAGTACATGTGAGAGTACAACTTTTTCGTAAAAATCGTCACCGTTAACATTCAGTTTATCTTACAGTTTATGCCTATTTAAGGTAACCAATATTTTCTATCCTAACTGTAGTTTGTAAAATAACAATTATCTCCTCGTCCTGCAGTTCGGATATTCATCATTCAATGTGTTCGTTCGCGAGAGACGTTTTACCATTCAGTCGGCAAGAAGCTTGTTTCGGAAAACGGTTTTGAGAATTTTTTGTCTTGAAAGAAGACACTTTCGATATTTAATAGCGAAATCTCCTCGTGTTGTTGTTGGATTACTCTGAAAATGACCGGGTCCAATTTTTTAATGGATGGACAGTAGATATTTCGCTTTTTGTGTCTCAAAATATGTCGCTGAATTATTTCTGTGACTGAAAATCACCGTACTATGGAAAAAATGTCGGTGTGTCCGTCCGCAAACGAGAAAAACCATTGTAACTGACTAAAAAAAAGACATAGATATCTGAAACTTCTGGTGTAGAGAGTGTTTAGCCATAGTGCGTCAAAAAACGAGGATGAACGGCTTACAGGAACAGTTTCATTGAATGAAGTTCTGCTTTCAATTAATTGAATGAAACCGATATAGAAAACATAATCGATTACGCAGAGTTGATTGGGTCCATTTTCTTTGGTTAGAAGTATCTGGAGGACTTTTGAGATTTCTATCGATTTTTTAACTGTTTTATTAGGTTGAGGAAAAAGTTCGTGCGCCGTGTTAAAATAATGATTTTTTTATATATTTTTTTTGTGTTTTTGATCTGGTTTTGTGGCTATTATGAAAATTTATTGATTTTTGAAACGCTTGAACCATTTCTGTGCAGTTCACGGTGCCACCGTACCTTCACCTTCAACGTC